GCCAAACATTCGGTAGAATTTATAGAATATTGTAAAATATATATATATATATATATATATATATGTATGTATGTATGTATGTATGTATGTATGTATGTATGTATGTATGTATTGGATTAAGACTTTCTGAAATGCAAATATTGATGAAAATCACGGCTTGTTCGGCGTTAGTTAACTTCTTGTTTAACTTTTCGATTTTTCTAACGATTGATCGTAAATCATTCTCAAGGTTCTTGTGTTCAAAACTACTCACAGCATGATTCACAATGGTCATACAAACTGGCGCTATAAATCCCATGAAGGAGAAACACAAAACTAAAATTACTAGACAAACCTTGAACCACAATGTTGAAATCTTACATTACAATAACAACCATTATAATTAACGACTAGCCGAATCAATACTCATAGAACAAAGAAATAATAAATATTCAACAACGGGCATTTGAAATTCTTCTTACTAATAAATTTAGAATCAGGAATCATCAATAATGAAAACACGTAAATGTATTAAACGAAGTTGAAGATTGTAAAACTAATTAAATGAATATTAAATATTTTCTTTGAACAAAAAAGGAATCAACAAAGTAGAGTAGAGACACGGTATATATATATATATATATATATTTGAGCATCTGGTTACATACATAACGTATCAATTCGAACACCGAGATGGTATAGGAATACCGAAAAAAGCTATTTTGTTCTACCATATATTAAATAAACAAAAATTTTGGTTTTGAATTCAAGAAACTTGAGAATGATTCACGATCAATCGTTAAAAAAATCTAAAAGTTAAATAGAAAGCTAACTAACGCCGAACATGCTGTGATTTTTATCAATAATATATATATGTATGTATATGTATTAGTAGTAGTATTAATATATGCTTTTTAAATTATCTCAAAAGCAATGGTGAAAACAATTAACGACAAAAAAGCATTTCATTGATTGAAGAGATAAATCTTTAACAGCTTTTAAAAATTCTTGACGAAGAGACCAGGTTGTCGCAATTAGCATGGTAGACAGTTCCATACTTTTGAGCCAGCAATAAAAAAATTTCTTGAACCAATCTTTAAACGTGATGTTGGATGGTCCACCAAGTTTTTATCGTCATGACGTAGGTTGTTTGGTTTTGCAAACGTCGCTTTAGAAGTGCATCTATCAGCTAAATACTTTGGAACGAGTTCATTTATGACCTTAAACATCAGAAGCGAAATTTTGAACGTAACACTTTTATCAACCTTCAACCAATGTAGTTCTCGAAATATTGGAGTCACGTGATCATATTTTGCAACTTCCACAATAGGCCTGGCAGTAAGGTTTTAAACGAGCTGAAGCATAGATATTGCAGTAATTCAACCTCGTATGTACAAATGCATAAAACAATGTATCTATATTTCTTTGAAGCGATTTTTTAATTATCCTGAACATGCGCAACTGATTCAGACGAGTATTTGTAATAAATTTTACGTGATGATACATTGTTAGCTGTGGGTCCAGAATGCAACCCAAATTGACAGCCTTGGAAGAAAATTTAATCTCCTGATCAATAATGATGGCTGAATCGATTTTAACTCTTGAGAGCTGTTGCCATGTCCCAATGGGCATTAATTGCGTTTTACATTGATTCAACATGCGCAACTGATTCAGGCAAGTATTTATAATAAATTTTACATGATGATGCATTGTTAGTGTGGGTCCAGAATGCAACCCAAATTGACAGCCTTGGAAGAAAATTTAATCTCCTGATCAATTATGATGGCTAAATCGATTTAAACTCTTGAGAGCTGTTGCCATGTCCCTGTGGGCATTAATTGCGTTTTACATTGATTCAACTTTAAACGGTTACAAGACATCCAAACATCTATTTTTGTCAGACATTTAATGAATTTGTTCAACATAACTGGTAATTAACTAGGCGGTCCACTTACTATGATCTGGATTGCATCAGCATAAGCGTGACTATAGAAATCAAATGAATAAATTAATTGAAGAACATCTGCCATGTATAAAACAAATAATAAGGGCCCTAATACCGAGCCCCGTGGCACACCGACAACGACCGGTTACGTATCTGACAAATTGTTATTAAACAGCGCTTGTTGCGTTCGATCCGTCAAGTAAGACTGAAACTAAAGTTTCGCTGCTTCTGATATACCAAATTGTTTCTCCAAACGGTTCAGCAAAATACTATGATCGACGCAATCAAACGCTGCACTTATGTCCAAAAGCGCCAGGATAGAGACATTTTTCATATCTGTCACTGAAAATAATGTAGACAAAGCTGTCTGTCGAGTGATGTCTGAATTCTGACTGATGCACAGGCAACAAACGATTTTGTTCTTAACGGCTAACCAGCTCTTTAGCAACTATTCATTCAATAATCTGACATAAACGGAAGATTTGAAACTGGTCTGTAGTTATTTTCATCGTCTTTATCCAACCCATTTTTCTTTAAAAGTGGTATCACCAGGGCATGTTTGTACAAATAGGAAATTTTCCAGTACTCAGACATAGGTTGATGAAACTGGTAACACATTTGGAAAATAATTTAAAGTGCTTCTTGAAAAAATGGGCAGGTAAGCAGTCGAGATTGCATGTTTTAGAAGGCGAATTCAAAATTATTCGTGTTATATCATCCTCGGTGTAGTCAGCAAAGGCCAAAAATACGTTGTTGTTAAAATCACCACGAGTAACTAATCACTGGTGTATCACTGGATGTTGTAGA